AGAAGCGTTCGAGTTCAAAAGCCACATTCAGAATACTTCTTTAATCATTTTTTCTCCGATAATGAAAAATTATATATTTTTCAAAAGCATACCGTTGGATAGCCCCTGAAATTCTCTAAAAATAAAGCCAGTTGGAATATCTAGACAGGTGAGGTCATTCATCAAAGACATGCAAAAAACCGCGTTGGGCTACAGAAACAGCTGCAGACAGACAGGTGGGAGGTATCTGATTTTGCTCCGAATTCTTTGCTCTGTGAAGCTGCAATCAAAAACAAAGGAGTTCTTATGATTATAAAACACCGCGATGCATATATAATACTCAAACACATATCTTTGATAACTGGACGAATCTGTCTAGATATTCTGACCATCTCAGTTTGTAGAGAATTTCACGAGCTATCCAACGGTATGCTTTTGAAAAATATATAATTTTTCATTATCGGAGAAAAAATGATTAAAGAAGTATTCTGAATGTGGCTTTTGAACTCGAACGCTTCTTTTCTATGTCTTTGATGAGTGGCCCCATCAGTCAAGATATTCTAACTAGCTTAGTTTGTAGAGAATTTCAAGAACTATCTAATCGAGTATTTAGTTAGTCATATGAGTGTAGGAAAGTTGAGAAAAACACCTTTTACTTATCATGTGGGTGTTGTTTTGGAGCGCCGATTGGAATACTATTGTCGAGGAATTAACGGGATTTTAGTGAAAAAATTATCTGATTATACCCGGAATCGAATTCTAAATACGTTTTCACTCCACTACATACGAAACCATTATTACTCGAAAAAGAGCTTGGATCGATTTTTAAGCTTATGCTGTCCCGTCTTTTTCAACAGAATCACTCGAAAAGACTTAAGAATTATATAAAATATTTTTGATATCAAGATATCTATAGAATTTTCTCTGCTTATTTTATGATTTCTCTTACTTTGATGTCTATGTGTCAGTTCTACTTTCTCTAAGAAGAAATTCTATTGCATTTTTGTAAAATAAATAATCGCCTACAAAGTGGACTATTTTGCATTTAAATCAATCTCTACAAAAATATTGATAAATAATTTTTAAAATGAGTGGTATTGAACAATAAGTCGTTTAAAAATATCAATTTTAAAACAATAATGACTTGTTCTAATCAATGAATATGTGTTAATATGCAGCGAAAAGTCTTCCTCGATGACAAAGAATTGTCTACAAAATATATTATTTTATTTTGAATCAATTTTTGCAAAGTATCGGTGTGTGTGTGTGTGTGTTTGCTTTTATTTCAACTATTTCCACTAGTAGTGGCTCACAGACAAACGAATTGCATAGATATAACAACACTAGCACAGAAAACTTGATCGTTAATTAAACATGTGACGCAGCATGTTGTGATAGTTGATAACAGAGGAGAATGAGGAATCGAACCTCCGTTGTTCAGATTTCAAGCCAAACACTGTATCAACTGCACTGTTCCTCCCTCATCAGTCGGTTTGTATTTCATCTGTTGCAGCCAAAAGGATTTACAATGGAGATTAAAATGGAGTTCGAGTTTTTACATACAAAAAAACTGACTTTTGCAATAAGAATTGCAGAGATTCATTTCCTGAGTTAAAGCAATGGTAACTGCGTATCAATCGTGAATAAACGTAAGAAACCATAACGAGAGATAAAGTTTATAGTATCTGATGTAAGACGTGTAGTTAGTCCATGTATAGAAAAGAAGAATTATGATCTTCATGATACTATAGGCATGAACATTGTCATGTGAAAAGGTGAAAAGTATATACATGATTTATATCTGTCGTTTAGATATATTATTATATATAGATAATATTGACGAGTATAACAAGTAATTCTATATCATTGGCAAAAGAAATGAGAATTATGTATTGTTAGATATATAATACGGATTGGAAAAATATTGACATCAACGTATTAAGACATTTTTATCTGTCCTCATTTTAACGGTGTTTTATTACGCGAAAACTGATATATATTTGTTTGCCGATAAAAGAGTAGGGACGCCTCCGTTGTTAATTTTGATAATACGAACAGAAACTTTACTTGCATACTTGTCTTGATAACGTATTAGAAGCAATCACAAAAGAACCTTTTGTTTAGTACTCACATGAGTCACCATCGGATAGCATTATTATTACGCTCATTACTACACATCAAGATAGATATAACGTGAACAGTTTTATCACTTTCTTATGAAGTTCTAACAAATCTCTTATCAGATTCTTATAAGACTCTTACGGAATTCGTGGCACTTTCGAGCGTTTTCCTATATAAGATTATTATAAGATTCGGATAAGATTTCCATAAGAATTTCCAAAAACATTTTGTCTACGGTAGTGGAACCTGAACTAAGTATGGATTGTACATATATTTTAAGTGTTCATAAAAAACACGTTGGTGGTCGTCATTATCTTTGAAATCAGCTGTTTAATTAATAACAGTTTCGAATGCGGCAAAACGAGTTAACGGGTCATTACAATTGTAAAACACGTTTTTCTTTCGAAATGTTGTTGTCTATCATTTTTGTACTCGAAGTCGAGTCAATGTTTGCCCACAAAGTGTCATCAAACCAGCAGTGTCTTTTTGTCATATTCGAAAAGGACTAGGCTGAGAAAACTCACCGCTTTATTTTCCAAAAACACAATTATGAACAATACATGTCAGTTTGTCTCCTCTATACTTGAAATGGAGTCATTTTTGCAGGAAATTGTTCCAGGTCAAATCTTACAGCAGACTACATAGAAACAATGAGCTCAGGCAACTTCCCATTAGTAAATTCAACTACTTTTCATACAAAAAAATTGACTTTTGTTTTTTCATAAAAAATAGATCATGCTTTCTTTTTATTGTTGTTTATCATTGCACTTCAATTATTCATCATAAACTAGATAAGACGGAATACTTCTTCTTTTTCGTTTCCCCATGAACGTTGGTCTCAAACTTGCACGTTTTCCGAAGGATGGTCGTAATGATGCACGTTGGACAACAACTGGTCTTAGGCTAGCTTTTTTGAATAATTGATGATGACGTAATGATGCTCGGCGATATAAATCAATGAATGCGTTTGGATCAATATCATCGTTTAGTTCATCGTCGTTTTCACTTCCTAGTGCTGATGAATGTTCATAATCGTCTGTTTGTGTCATACAAAACGAATAATGTAAGGTACACCATAATAGAACTAAATAAACAGTGCAACAAGATGCTTACTACGCCACGGATAGATCTGGATGTCAACTAAGTGAAATGGCAATCAGACAAAGTTAGAACAATTACAAAACGTTTAGATATTCACACGGTATCCCTCATCTTATACAAAGCATCAGTAGTGTCATCATAGATTAACTAACTTCTCATCCGTACTCTCTACGCTGTACATGATATGCTCTCCGAGTCGTTGATTCATCACCTTTTCGAAGAATGGACACTTGAGCACACTGTGTGCGATTACTGATTAACGGGTAGGGAAAAGCGGCCAAGTTTGTGAAAATGTGTTCTTCTTCTGGACTTTGATGTTGATAAAGTGAGCACATGCCGAAAAGATGCTTTGAGATCGTTCATCTGAGAGTCAAAGATATTCTGAGGTTCATTTTAAAATCCATCGAAGCAGAAGAGACTGACTCGAAAGAGAAGAGTGCGTGCGGAAAACAGGAAGTGATAGAGAAGTCTTGCTCGAGAAGGTTGAAGCGTTGATCGAACTAAACTATCAAAAGTGAAGAGAAGGGTAAAAAGTATGGTTATTAACTGATATGCTCAATAATCAATGACCATTTGATAATAAGGGTAGCGTATATTGAACATCTTTAGAGATTTCCAGTTCTCTTTTATCCTATTCGCTTAACTAGCCACTGACGCTTAAGGATAGACTATAATTCTATCTACATATAAAGTTATTTAATATAAAGTTAAACACAAAGTACCACACCGTCTCCTAACAGGGCTCCGTATGATCCCGTGCAGAACCAAGTTGGATCGGACCGTAATCCATCTGACTTGGCCCCAGTTTTTAAAAAGTTTAATGGTTCGAACTGGTCCTGGTTAGAAATTTTTTAGAAAATGTTAGTATGATCAATTGAAAAAATGAATAGTTTAAAACAAGATAAATAAACTTTGTTTCCTTCTCTCCTCTCGTTTCGTTTTATTTTGTCTTTCTCTTAGGCTTTGTTCTGAGATCGTAGAGTAAAAACACGTCAGATCTCTTTGTTTTTTTGTTTATCAACTAGATAAATTTTGTTGAACATTTAATTAAGAAACAGTTTGTTTTCAGGTTTGATAAAAATTGAAATTAACAGTTTTGCGTTACACAATAGAAATGGATCTTCAAAAAGGAGAAAAAAACATTTCATGGTCCGAAGTGGTCTAAAAAATTTATGGTTCTGATTGATCCTGGTCCCAAATTTTTTTGTCGTAAATGGTCCGGAGTGGTCCTGATCCCAAAAAGTTATGATCCGATCCCAAAAAGTGGAACAAGACGGGCCTATACGAAGCCCTGTCGTCTAATCATTTATAATGTATACTATAGTAATTGTTTTGCTGAAGTATCACACGACAATTAATTACCTCAGAAAAAACAACGGTGGAATTTTTGAGAGCATGCTGATTTTTTGGTCTTCTGTTTAAACCCCATATCAGAAAAATCGTCAAAAACAGATCGTTCATCTACACTAGGCATGCATCCGTTATATACTTAATACCATAGTATTAGGGCATCTAGGAGATTTGTTATAACCCAGTTATAAAACTCAGACTGATGAAACGTCCCATTTAGTAGAATAACGTTTGATCTTTGCGCTTGTTGAAACAAAAGAAGTTTCAAATTTTATTGCAAAAAAATATGAATAGTCTAGAAAGAATACCATAATTGTAAATGATATAAATGACTATTGGTTATATAACTGTTCGTGTCTCCTCAGTACTTGATTAAAAAGTTCCTCTCCTTTACTCTTCAATTTTTTGTTTCATACAAATGTATAGAGCAAACATTTTTCTAAAAAATGGAACACTCCATAATTCTGGATGATTCCTAACAAACTGTGTTATAACAGATTTCCTGATGCATCTACCCCACTGTCCTCAGAAAAGCTATTCTGTTCCACAAGAAATCATAAAGTATCATCAAACAGCTAGAACGTTTTCTTACAAAATTTCAAATAGAATCAGAAAAAAGGCAGTACAAACTTACCATGAAATCTTCAGATTCTAAAATATTTTTGCCACTAATTTCTCCTTATTATTATATTTGCTTTTTAAAACTCTTCTGAAAATTTTGGGTAAAAAAGTGCAATACTAATGAGAAAACACTGTTCAGTTAAAAAATAGCATATTCTCAAGGTTCATAGTTATTCAATCCAATATTTTTCAAGTTATATATAGTCGAGTTAATCACATATTTTTGAAACCTCTAGTTCAGAACGAATGGCACTTCTCTTATAAAGAAAACTAAAATTATCAATCACAAGCAGATCATGAAACTAAAACTTAGTTCTAATCTATTTTACAGAGATGAAAGCAATCTAAAATATCGTCATAGAGCAAGACATGGACATCAAGTCCTACTTAGATAGTATTAGCTAATCTATTGCTGTTAGGAACTACTAAACACACGATCATTTTGTTAGTTATCCAAAGAAGAATCTCTTTTCCTTACACAACTTTGAAGCATCTGTCATTTTACTTTGATCAAGTAATGACAGTAAAGTCACTTACTGATTGTAATTGTTAACAATTTTAATGTATAACCACTGCTGTAATTCATAGTTTTGTTGTTTTAATTAAATAAAGTTGTTACTCTGAAGTGGGAACTTATTTAATCTGTAATAGATTGAATTAAACAATAGAAAAAGTGTTAGATATATCGATATATATATATAAATATCTATGCTCGTCAGAAAGTATATTTTATTACTGCTGAGGGAAAAAGATGTGACACGATATTTTTGAGAATATAATCAGTATAGTTGAAGATCAATTTGGGTATTTTTCTAAATAGTTCATTGTTGTGTTTTCTTCTCTTTTCAATGTTTTTTCTCATTTTCCGTTTTTTTCTCTATCTATTACCGAAAGCATTTTTCAAAGCATTATTGCTACTAAATCAAGAAGTATCTCTCTATCTATGAGACCAAGACAGTTATACGTAATTAGAAGCTAAAGAGGAACGTGATATTTAGAAAATAACAGGAGAATCTCTCTCTCTCTCTCTCTCTCTCTATATATATATATATGAGAGAGAGACTGAAGGGAAACGTAGTTAATGGAAAATGAAAATATGTTCAGAATATAAAAAATACTCTGTTTGTACTGTTTATTATTGATGAGAAATCACTATTTGCCGGATAATAATTAGCATTTTTCATGGTCGCTAATAATCTGAACTGATTGATTTTTTCGAAGAACACTGCTTGATTAAACTGGAATTGTAGTTTTTATTTTTGAATGTTAAAATTGTTTGAGTTTTGGATTAGTGTTTGAATTTCTGCGATTTTTCGCATCAGTCATGAATTTAAAAGTTTCTTTAAAGTTACCTAATTCTCATTCTTTTGCTTGGAACAAAGATTTATCTTTTACTGTTTGTTTTGGAGTCGAGACCTAAGAATATTCCAGAAATCTGTTACTGTTTTACACACATATCAATTTCTCTAAAATACTGAAATAAGCACGAGCGTCAAATATCGAAAACATTGACCCGAGAAAATTATGTATTTAGGAGTTTTTTTTTGAGAAAACAAGCGTATATATTTTGCACATGTATTTCCGATTTTTCAAAGATCTTTTCTTCAATATTAAAAAGAACCGACAAATGGCATGCAAAATCCCACAGAATTACGTATAACTGTCTGGACGAAACAACAGAGCAAGCAACTTTTATTTCTATTCTCTAACTCGGTTTGTCTCATTTTTCTATAGACAATCTCAAGTATATCAACCGAAATATATCTATCGTCATAAAAAATAAAATTAATATTATTCTATAACCGATACACTCGTAAATGGCATACAAACACCTACAGTATTTTATTATTAGCAGAAAATTGTCATATGCCATTATTTTTTACACTATTCAATTTAAGTTGGTAATATAATAAGATAAGATTTGGCACAAATCTCTCTCTCTCTCTCCCTGCCTTTTTTCCTCTAGTTTCTCCTTAACATAGATCAAAATATAGTTCACACATATACATTCGGTGTAACAACAAACAAATAAAGAAAACGAAAAAGTATTTTGAACTCATTCCTGTAGTAAAGGTTTCTTATCTATATATGAGAGTTAAATGTCCTCAATGGATTGTTTATATGCTCAATTTAACATTATTATGATGATTATATTATTGTTTTACGTTTGTTAGATCTACTGAAACATAAACATAGAGTGATAAAATTATATCGTTAGCGTTGCCGTTTTCAATGTGGCATATAAAATTTAAAAAAATTTATTAGATTAATCAGACAGTATGTCATCGAATTTATGTAGTTCAGATCAATCTATTTCGAACGAGACACCTATATTAAAAAAAAAGATTCGGCTTATTTAATCATATTCTTGGAGAAATTTGACATGATACTGATAATTAATATTGTATTCAGTTCTTATTCGAACAATTTGTTTTCGAGAATTTTAACAATAAAAGAAAAATATCTGTACAATCGAATGTTTTAGAAATAATGATGTAAAATTTACTAAATGCAAAAATATTCCATCGAAACGCTCCTTATTTGCATAAGAGCATCATGCAAGATGAAAACTCCAAAGTTCTGCATACATTCAGATAATCGATCTTCTTCTCAAGGCAATATTGTTACTAGAGGTACAGAAAAAACAAACAAAAACTATGACAGGAAAAATACTATTGAATTTTTGCTATTATTAAGCTCCGAGTATTTTCCGTAAGGAAAAAATATTTGAAACTATTATTTTCAGATAATTCAAGGACAAAAGGCACTAGAACGATTGTCAAATACTTTACCGTCTTTTTGTTTATCTTTTAATTGAAGGCTACTAAACTAAATTCGCTGTTCCTTGTGTGTGTACTGTACAAAACGGTTAATATTATACAACTGACTTGCGAATACTCATATTAATTTGTTTTTAGTGTTTTTGTATATTTACTATTGGTAAGAAATCGATACTTTTTCTCTTTCAATAATGTTTTAAACAATAATTTAACAGAAAACGAACTTCTAAATATGTTGGAAAACAATTTTCTATTCAAATTAAAATTTGGATGGATAAAAGCAAGAAATGGCATCGAAAAAATGAGGACATATCATTTTGTCTTAAAAAATTCAAAAAGATAACGAAATTAATACCAAAATGAGAACAATCTATATTTTTGTTTTATGTGTTAGAAACGAGAACGAACTAATTTGTATATTTAATTAGATTTCATGCCTGTTTGAAAACTATATTCGCTCTATTACGTCAAAAACTCTATCTATGTATTATGCTAGTAATCAAAGAAAATAAAAAATCAAGTACACATGCTTTAACAACACATGTGAAAAAATATAACTCAAGGTAATTATATAATCATTCATAAAATAGTAATGCCAGACTGGATATTATCGATCTTCCATTTTTTGTTTTTGTTCATTACGATCATTGGAAAATATGTACAATCTCGACCCAGATCAAACAAATCGTATACAATCGTATCTGAATCAGACAAAATCGTACTAAATCGTATGAAAATCATATATGAATCGTGGTGTCTGATTTGTCCTCTGGATCGTATAATACGATCATACAGCTTCATATGAAACCGTACAGTATGAACTAGATAACAAATCACCACGATTCGTATGTAAATCGTACATAATCGTATATGATTTCGTACGATTCGTATACGATCTTGTACGATCGGATAGTATGCTTCTATCACTTGGGGATACAATTTGAAATATATAACTAAATATTTTAAGTATATTTGCAAAAATATTAAAATTTACAAAATTATTGTTGATTTGAAAACTATGGATGGACTGATTTGTACC